CACCAATGATGTCCCTTCCGACCAATTCTAGTTTCTTTACTCACCTCATTAAATTTGTCGAATATTACAAATTATGAAAATTTCCCCCATCCATCACAGCCACTCGAGAATGTGAACCAGGGAGACGGCTTAGCTCGCGGGTAACTGACCAGTGTTTTGAGGATCAATATCTCTCTCTCTCCAATCCAACAGCCAGTGCATGACGTAAAATAAACGACCCTTCCACTCAGACCAGACAATACAAACGGCCAGTACGGACATGGAATAATACATAATAATATTGTTCGCCCTACAAATCGATCATAACAACCCGCCTCCTCCCTCCCACAATCTTCCATGCAGCTAACCTCTCGCCACCTTCCACTGCATTAAACGTAACCGAAAACATCCCCATGTCTACACACGTCATAAATATCCCGATCGTGGAGGCAAGGCTCCACGCATTCTAAGATTTCGGTTGCTTTACCCCCTCTTACGTGATTTTCAGTTTGAGGAATAATGATGGAATAAAGGCGATTAGTCTGCAGGTAAGGACAAATTGACATCAGATGATTATACGAAGTAATGACTTTGATAATCAGCAGATAGAAAAAAAAATGTTAAAGTATGATAAGCTTATCAGTCTCCACGGAGACCATGTAGAAAAACACTACACATGGCACAGTGACGTCATAATTCAGACTCATAAAATGATACAACACATACTTACCTTGTACTCACTTTCTGATCATCACCAATGTCTTTTGAACCAAGTGCAAAACAGATCAAACACGAAATCAATCATGAATTGGGTGGAGGGAGGAATAATAAACATTAGATTTCACTGGTACCTGCTATTTCTTCAAATCTGAAAGTTATCATGTGCAAAATCATACACTTGTCACCTGTCCTTGAAACACTGGTGACTTAAGACCAACAAAAGTGAAACACTAGTTTTCGGAGGGGAACTTACCTGCCCCATCGAAACTTCATACCCCATCACATGACCCAGCTCTCACTTAAAATTACACAAAATTGCTGAAGGTAAGGGGTGGACTTTTTGGTTTATATCTTTAACCTAGCTCAACTTCAGTCAGAGGGTTTATAGATGCCGCACTCTCTAGATCTCAACGCCAAGGGAAGATGATATTTAGCGTCACACTCTGGCGTCGGTCTAGACACGTAGGTAACGAAAAAAAATTATCGTCTCTGCTGGGAATCGAAGCCTGGCTTTCCAGCTCATACTCAGTCACATTAACGCGTTATCCTGGTTCATGTAATGTGTATATTTTAGGATAAAATTAATCACAGACGGTTCAAACGTCAGGATTAAATGAAACAACGTGTACACAGTAACAAAAATATCATATGATAAAACATTTGCAAACAATATCTTATTTAAAAACCATTATGAATCTAATGGAGAAATAATACATAATATATATATATATATATATACATATTCTATTGTTAGATTTCTGTACCATCATTAGAACAAAAAAATATCTCTAGTGCCATATTTACTTTCGTAATTGTCACCACTTATTTTATTCGGTTGAAAGAGTGAATGGTCCGTAGGAATGAGGAACACAAATGACTAGCAGAAAAATTGATAATTTAATATGTTTAAATTCTGTACTGGAATATTTGTTGAACTGTAGAATTATACCAGAGTTAAACTGAGCACGATCTCACCACTTTTCCGGTTGCAGATTATGCTAAGAATTTTTGATTTCAAATTTATTGTACGAGATATTATACTGCTGTTCAATTGAAACCCGTTAGAAGTACTTCTAGTCGTAGATGACGATGTGGCCTTGTGCACACACACACACACCAGCGGTCAAAGAGATGTGCATCAGAGCTAACGGGAACATCATGATAAAGTTAAATTTCAGCTATCCAGATATACAGAGTGGGTGGGAAGTAAGTAGGCATTCCCATTTAAAAACGTACATGTAAAAATTATTTTCATTATCTTTGCATTGGAAATATAGAGGTTATAACAATTTCTCAATGCCTACTTCCCAACCCCCCTGTAGAATCTGTCCAAAAAGGAACAATGAGTTGTCAATGCACCGCTGCTTCCGATTTGTATCTACGTCTCGTAAGTGGTTTCGTTCCGAGTAACTTCCAATCGAATCTGAACTACGTAATGTATTTTCAATTAATTTCTTGTTTCCTCCATGCATGCTACATGCTCTATCCACTGTCCCCTTAATTAAATCTAACAATATCAGGGGTCAGTAAAATCTGCACAGTGTCTCAGATTATTTTTCTCAATTTATACATTTCAGGATTCTTTTACAAATGTTGACGGACGCTGGAATATGGCAATAATATAAGCAAATATGGGATAATTTTCAGTTCTTGACCACCCTGTATTTTATGCTGCATCACAGAGAGAACCTTCTGTTCTGAGATGGTACAGAATATTATAATAACGATCTTACTGTAGCCCATAAAAACCACGATAAATCTTAGGTGGTAAAAAACAGTATTAACACTATTAGCGTGCAAACTGTGGCGACAAATATACCAGCGACTGTTATGCATTTTGGTAAAAACACATTCAAAAACTGTAAACAGCTTCTTCTCACAATATCAATCACAAATTCATTGCCAATAAACATCAGCCACATTCAAACTTTTGCCAATCGACCGCCGTTTCTCCATTACACGATTAATATCCCATATTGATGTTTAATGTTTCACTATTCCTGTATCACAATAATTAAGTACAATGTACTGCATTAGCAAATTGCCATTCTAAGCGACATTACTTTTTTTTCATGGCAATGAAAATATATAGACGACAGCCTTCCGTGATTTTGCACCACATAGACTTGACGTTGACCAACATTTCATATATATATATATATATATATACATATTCTATTGTTAGATTTCTGTACCATCATTAGAACAAAAAAATATCTCTAGTGCCATATTTACTTTCGTAATTGTCACCACTTATTTTATTCGGTTGAAAGAGTGAATGGTCCGTAGGAATGAGGAACACAAATGACTAGCAGAAAAATTGATAATTTAATATGTTTAAATTCTGTACTGGAATATTTGTTGAACTGTAGAATTATACCAGAGTTAAACTGAGCACGATCTCACCACTTTTCCGGTTGCAGATTATGCTAAGAATTTTTGATTTCAAATTTATTGTACGAGATATTATACTGCTGTTCAATTGAAACCCGTTAGAAGTACTTCTAGTCGTAGATGACGATGTGGCCTTGTGCACACACACACACACCAGCGGTCAAAGAGATGTGCATCAGAGCTAACGGGAACATCATGATAAAGTTAAATTTCAGCTATCCAGATATACAGAGTGGGTGGGAAGTAAGTAGGCATTCCCATTTAAAAACGTACATGTAAAAATTATTTTCATTATCTTTGCATTGGAAATATAGAGGTTATAACAATTTCTCAATGCCTACTTCCCAACCCCCCTGTAGAATCTGTCCAAAAAGGAACAATGAGTTGTCAATGCACCGCTGCTTCCGATTTGTATCTACGTCTCGTAAGTGGTTTCGTTCCGAGTAACTTCCAATCGAATCTGAACTACGTAATGTATTTTCAATTAATTTCTTGTTTCCTCCATGCATGCTACATGCTCTATCCACTGTCCCCTTAATTAAATCTAACAATATCAGGGGTCAGTAAAATCTGCACAGTGTCTCAGATTATTTTTCTCAATTTATACATTTCAGGATTCTTTTACAAATGTTGACGGACGCTGGAATATGGCAATAATATAAGCAAATATGGGATAATTTTCAGTTCTTGACCACCCTGTATTTTATGCTGCATCACAGAGAGAACCTTCTGTTCTGAGATGGTACAGAATATTATAATAACGATCTTACTGTAGCCCATAAAAACCACGATAAATCTTAGGTGGTAAAAAACAGTATTAACACTATTAGCGTGCAAACTGTGGCGACAAATATACCAGCGACTGTTATGCATTTTGGTAAAAACACATTCAAAAACTGTAAACAGCTTCTTCTCACAATATCAATCACAAATTCATTGCCAATAAACATCAGCCACATTCAAACTTTTGCCAATCGACCGCCGTTTCTCCATTACACGATTAATATCCCATATTGATGTTTAATGTTTCACTATTCCTGTATCACAATAATTAAGTACAATGTACTGCATTAGCAAATTGCCATTCTAAGCGACATTACTTTTTTTTCATGGCAATGAAAATATATAGACGACAGCCTTCCGTGATTTTGCACCACATAGACTTGACGTTGACCAACATTTCAGAGGTCTTTATTACCAGGGAAATTGCAGTAGATGCCTCAGAAAAACTGGTCGACTTTTACAAGACTTCACAGTACAATATCCCAAAAGGCTACCATCTTCATACATGCCGTTATTTTCGGGCAGTCGCGAGGGGTCCGTCGGATATCAGCTCGGATGTCCAAATCACATGGTATTTGTATTTTATATGGGCACATTAAATAAGAAAGAAATAAGAGTATTAAGCCAGATATAATCTTAGAAACTCTAATGTTAGAATCTTAAACACATCACAAGATATTAGTTCAATTTAGTAAGGATTTTCAATCTGCTCGAGTGTTTAAGGTGGAAGAATTTTCAATTGGGATGTGCAAATTCTGTAACACGAATAAACTTAAAATTTTTATTGGTTGAAAAAAAAGTCACATTTGAGACTCGACTGGATTGGCATCCTTAACAGATGTAAGCCTCTAAATGCAAATTATTGAAGATACACGCCAGTTGGTCATGCCTCTCTGCACATCTAAGGAACAGAAAGTAATTTTGTTCATCACAAACCCAACATAAGTGCTCCCCAATTTAGGCTGCAACCTCACAGTGCGAAACTGAAAATTCAACAAAGCTATGTCTTGGCATAATCGGTAACGAGTACCATACTTTCATATCGAACCTTGGACTACCTAAGCAATCTATAATTCTTATTTTGAAGAAAGCTATTTGTACCAAAAATACTATAAATATGTCTGTCTAAAATTATGTAACCTAAAATGCATAAACATAACCCAAAAAAAAAAAAAATTGTACAAATATATCAGCACATTTTATAAAAGACCGTCAGAACCGCAACAGGAAGTTATATTTTTCCCTCACATTTTGTTTGGCACACAAACTATTACACATTCTAAACAAAGTTTAAAGTCTGTACTTGCTTCGAGACGCACGTCACGGATAAAATAAAAATAATAATAAAAAAGCATTCACACCAAGTCGAGTTCCATATACTATTTTGATACAGTAGTGTGTTCTTGTTACCAAATTAAAAAACCAACTTTCTGAATGCCCTTGGCGGCAATAACATGCTCAAACTCAGTTAGTCTAGGTGATTTGGGTATATTACCAGTTTGTTTAAAATTTGGTTCAACTTGAAACCAGTTTACACATCCCCAGTTTCGAAACAAGTTTGGCAAAAATTCTTCCTAACCCAGATCATCTCCAAATCATAAATGTAAGTACAATTATCTCGGCAAGTAGACGGAAATCACGTTTCAGAATATGATTTCAGATCATCTTAATAAATGTAATGTCAAGAAGAGGAAAGAATTAACATAGGCTTCTGTGGTGACAGAATGGAAATATAAAAGAAATGGAGGAAAAGAAAAACAGACGGAAGAAACGGTTGACCGAAGAAAGTCCGGAAAGAAAGTTGCAAAAGAGTAAAGAAACCAAGTGTAGACACTTCTTACTTTACAGACCTTTCCAAATGTTTTGAAATGTCTTTACGCTGAGATAAACAGAATCCGTGCAAACATGGCAAAACGACACGGCATTCATCGGCGAGCACGATACCCATTTCCAACACACTTTAAACATCGATCTGCATTATCTTTTACCAGGGCAATACAAATCATACGGCCCACCTTGAACATTACGCTATAATGCGTAACGTCCATCGGATTAACATGTGAATAAAATAATAAAGGAGACAGGATGAAACAGGTTCATGTCTTCCTGAACTATGAGCTTAAGTCTGAGCCCGTGAATTTCTCTCCAAACAAGGCACCGACTGACGCGATATACCCGACTACTCCAAGAATGTGGGTGGGCCGTCAAAAGTACAGCCAGAGCGCTGGATGATCTCCGTGGCAGTCCAGATCCCGCATCGGATGCAAGTCTCTAAAGGCTTGCCCATTACAAGCTGTGCTAAAAACCCTGAAAATACAGAATTTTCTGTGTAACAGGGATGAGTAACGATAAGGTATTTGGGTTTGGCAGAAACAAAATCAAACAGAAGCTATTGGACATTCGACGTCATGAGTAATAAACTTCATGCATTGACTGGCAGTCATTTAAGACCCACTTTAATCTTCATTCGTGATGTTAGTGTTTTAGGCTGTAAAACCATTTGAGCTTGTAGGCTGATACAAATGTTTCAGAGGAACACCCAGTACACCAACGCTGACATCTTCACTGATGCAAAGTCTCAACTTTCTCTGCTAGTAAACCAACATAATGACATAACAAGGCAGATAATACTGTCCGTGCCACAATCTGACTAGTCTTTAATGAATACAACTCTTATTATATTTACCTCGATATAAGACGCTATTCTACTTCAGTATTCTCTGCTTTCAATGAATCCAATCCACAAACCCCTCCCTATCTCCATATCTTCCCACCTACATCTAGGTTTTCCAAGCAGTCTCTTCCTTAAACCATACCTAACACCCATTTTAATATTATTATCCTC